GAGGAAAAGTATGAGTACCGTTATCATTGTCATTATAATCACGTTTATTCTCACTTTCGGAGAGGAGAAAATGGAAGATCCACACCCTTTCAGAGAAAAACTGGACGGAAAACTAGGGTTTAACTCGTGTGTCGCAGTGCACAGCTTCAGGCCTCCGGTTGAAAGCACAGGCTGGTGGGAGGCAGCAGGATTTTGAAACAAATTCATTTGTGGTTTGGGGTTGTTATAGGATGAACAAGCAGACATTTCTCCAGGGGCCGCCTGAGTCGACAATTTTTTTTTTTAGTGTCATGTATTTTTTTAATTAATTTTTTCAACTGTGTTGCGATAGAGCTTAACAACAGTGTTGTGATAGTTTGAGGTGAACAGCCAAGGGCACTCAGTCACACACGTACAGGTATCCATTCTCCCCCAAAGCCCCTTCCCCTCAAGGCCGCCACGTAACATTGGAGTGCTCAGAATTTTTGAATATTCGCCTTGCAAAATCATCAGTGGGAGCTCGGGAAATGTGCTGAAGTGGAACACAAACAACTGAGCCACGTTGGGGCTCATCTCTGACTTGAACTCTGGACCCGCAGGTCAAGAGTCGACTGTGCCTCTGGTAGAAGCAAATGTGGGAAAGGTGGAGATGGCCAGAGCCTAAGATGATCTCTTGAAGGTCACACAGAGGGAGAGGGGAAGCGAGGAGGAGGGAAGCCTGATACTCTGAGGGTGCCAGTGACAGGCAGGCGGGTGAGGAACCGCCCGCCTTCCCAGTCCGCGGAGAACGGAGATGGTAACGGAGATGTAACTCTCTTTGGTAGACAACGTCCCTCCCGCACAGCGGTTCCCCAGGTCAAGAGCATCCCGGTTCCTTCCCCTCTGACCCGGCTGGGGGCTCCACCCCTGAGCGGCCTTGGGGGTTGGTTGGAGGTAAGCGCAGGAGCAAGGGAACTCTTACTCCAGGTACCAAACCGAGCTGAGAAAAGGGCGAAAAAAATCGAAAAGAAAGAGCAAATGAAGCGGAAGTTTCAAGGCCCTCTGCGAGGAATAACAGTATAAATAACCGAAGACGTCTTGTAAACACTGCGGTCATAACCCCGAACATTAAACAGCCCCGGTGGCATCTGGCTCATCGGCCGCCGCGGGCTGCGCTGGGGGCAGCGAGGGAACCGGGTCCCAGGCTCCTCGGACTCGCCTCTCTGTTTATCTCAACTTAATCTTCCCCAACGAGCTGTTCCGTAGCCTGGAAGATGTTTAAATTAAAGCCCAGTCCGCCGGAAGTCGTGGAGAGGCGCTGAATGCACTGGCTAACGTAACAGAAAAGGCAGGCATGCGCATTGTTCGAAGTAATTCATTAATTATTAAGAAAACTGTATGATACATGTTGCAGCCCCTCGAAAATCGTAGAGGTATGGCATTTACATTTTTCATCGCTCCCTTCATTGCTTCACTCGTTTGCAGTTCTGGGTTGCGTGGGTTCACGTCTGCACCTGGAAGGTTATAGAATGTGGGTTTTACCTTCCTGCTTGTGTTAGCCATTACACTGTGGGATACCTGAAAATCAGATTTTTCTTTTCTCTTGAATTGTGTGACTGTTCTTGACTTTAATCCTTCCCTTTCTTTGTTTAGTTACACTATTTCTATTTGTCTTAAAAGTAATCTGCAAACTGGAGACTCGTTTCTTTTCGAAGTTTCAGTGCAAAATATGATTTGCACCTTCATGGTGGAAATCGTACTTAATCATTTTCTCTCTCTCAAATAAGTTTGGATTGAGGTTCAAAAGGACCACTTTTATTATCGAGCTGCCCCCATGGTTCCCCACCTTTCTATTACAAATATATTTTCCAAAAATCACACCAAACGGCAGGGCTTTTAGCAATATAAAGAAAGATTTATTTTTGAAAGTAGCAAAACTTGTTTGAAAAAAATATATCTTTAAGTGAATTACTTTATAAAGGTGACTGTCAAAGTCAGCTATTCTATGATCTACATTTTACAACATATTGTACAAAAGATACACATTGATAGGCTCTTATTATCTATTTATATATTTATAATTACATATTGCACTTGGACCAGCAAGGCTCGCAGAGTCATTCACGGTAGAAGTTAATAAAGTTAAATAGATGGGAATCGTTGTAAGTACAGTTGATGTTTCTCTGGTTTGGAAACGAATCTCCTCGTCGCTGTAAAGTGTTCTCGCGGGGTGGGACGGGGAGAGGAGAGCTGCGAGGGGGAAGCAGAGACGGAGAGCGGGGAGGGCAAGGGTCGCCTTCCCTGGGGCCCGCTCCCCCCGGGAGCGCGCCTTTCCCAGGCTCGCACCTCCAAGGTCAGGACGCCGTGGTTCCACATAAGCGGCTGGCGGTCACCACTTCTTTCAGGTCACTCTCGGGTTTCCCGGCCACCATAAAGGGCCACGTCTGCAGGAGAGAAGAGGGTGGAGGAGGTAAGTGGCCGTGGAGGAGGGGTGGGATGAGGCCGGAGCCGGAGGCCAGAGTAAAGGGCGCGGGGGGCGGCAGGCGCTGAGTTGGACAGACCCGTTATCTCTGCAATTCACTCTGTGACCTAACGCGCCCTGTGGCTGGATAAAGCAGAAAGCGGCCTTGGCGCCAAGTCACAGCTCGAGGTGGTAGAGCAAAGAGGGGTTGACACTGGGTTCGAAGTGAAAACCCAAGAGAAAAAGCACAGCCCGGAGGCAGATGCCGCGGTGAGGCTGAGCAGGGAATCCGAGAAGGATCTCGAACCGCTGGGCACCGGGTTCAAGGTGAAGCGCCCTTCTGGCCCTGGGCAGGCTCTTCTGAGGCCCTGGTCAGGCTCCCAGCCCTCTCGCTTTCACCCCCAGGGATTTCACTACTTCTAACTTTCATTTCCATCACAAAGGCGGGCTTTTCATCACCGTTTCTAAATTAATCGCCAGCTCTTAAAAACAAATAATGTTAATAAAAGAATATACCGACGAAATTTCAGATTGTCTTCCTACAGGGCTGAGCAAACATAGCTTTCTCTTCCCTTCTTCCTGATGTTTATAATAAAGCTCACTTAAGTTTTCTTAATCAAGGATGAAGGCAGCAACAGCTGTAAATGAAGGCACTGCTTTCATTTTAGGTCCAGACTTTAAAAAGCCGTTTACTCACTTAAGAAAACTTGACTCTTAATGAAAGGAAAAACAATTTTATAGCAAAATATGGTTTTGCAACCCCCTCCCATCCACCTCCCCCCACCATTCCTGAAACCAGTTCAGAGAGAAGACCACTCAAACCTTCAAACCTGTCTCCCTAGTGCTGACTGATAAGAAGACTTTTAAGAGGAAAACGTCTCCTTCTTATCATATATAAACAGAGGTGCTAGTTAGTTTTTGTTTTTCTTTAGAGCCTGGAACACTTAAAATTAAATCAAATGCAAAGAGGGAATTAAAACATACTTCTTAAACAGTAATATACCTTTGAGAAAAATATTAGGTTCAGTGAGCATTACTTATTAAGATAAAAAGTAACATGTTTTTAAATCTTGAAGGAGAGTGACCTATTTTAATATTATTTATTATACTAACAGTCGTGAGAATGTGCTGATCATGCTGATATTAGCTAGAACTTCTGGGACCCAAAAGTGTTAATTCATCGACAGGAGAAGTGCAAAATATTTAAATAGTTGAGGACTTAGGTGACAGTTATGGGGGGCACGATGTGTTCATATGCAAAGTTCTACATATGGAAAACTTTGGGAAGGAAACAGAGTAGGATGTTTTTATTTACAAGTAGAGGAGGGAGATCAAGTTCTACTCTTTGGCTAAAGGAAGAGTAAAAGGATTACTAAAATGCCTCCTTAGCGCGTAGCATCTCCTCCGTGTCCTCTGTCCGGCACCAGCCCTGAAGGCGCTGGTGCGAGTGCGGGGGATCCCTCCTCTTTGCCAGCTCAACGTGCTTGCAAACTCTTAATTGGGCTGCCATGTCAAACACTCGCATAAATCACCGCGCTCCGCAGCTTGGAAGGCAGAGAGCGAGGACCGTGTGGGGATCGCCTGCATGGTCCCCTAGAGGCATTGGCTGGCGGTGACCAAGATGCGCGGGTCGCAGCCCGGCGCGCACCCTCACACCGGGGACCCACTGCGGGCGCGCTGTGTCGGGGGTCCGGGGGGGGGGGCGAGACGCCGCCACCACGCCCGAAGACTTACCAGGTTGACCGGGTGAATATAACCGTTCTCATACTTGTCGTTGGCCAGGATCTGCCTCAAGTGGGCGATGTAGCTGGACGCCAGCCTGAGCGTGTCCAGCTTGGAGAGTTTGGTGTCCGGGGGCACCCAGGGCAGGGTGGTCTTGAGCCTGGAGAAGGCCTTGCTTAGCACCCGCATCCGGGCTCGCTCGCGCGCGTTGGCCGCGTTGCGTTGAACCTGTTTCCCTTCCTGGCTGACCCCGCTCAAGGGGCTCTTCTTGGTGGGCGCCTTCCTCCTCTTGCCCAGGCCGCCGCGGCCCTTCTGGGGAGACCCGGCCTCGCAGTTGGAGCTCTCCTCGGTGCTCTCGTTGGAGGTCACAAACTCCTTGTTCGAGTCCATTTTCAGCCCGTCGCAGTCCAGCATCTCCACCTCTTGAAGATCCTCCACATCGCTCAGGGAGCCGGTGGACATGTTTGGCGGAGAGGATGAAAGAGAGAGGGGAGGGAGAGAGGAGAGAGGGAAGAGAAGAGAGAGACCTCGAAACCAATGAGCCCCCGAGTGTGGAGTTCGAGGCGGCCACCTCGGGGTGGGGAGCCGGGAGGTGGGGGTCTGGCTGGGCCTCACACCCCTTTCCCCTTCGCAGAGTCGGGAGAAGAAGCCGCGAGGGCTTCTGCGGGCAGGAAACCGACGCGCTGTTTCCCCACCCCCGGAGTCGTGGCCGGAGAGGATTGTGAGAGAGCGCGGAGGAATTCGGTGGACACGAGGAATTTATCTGGGGAATAGAGAGGCGGATCCTTGCCGCCCAGGGGAGGGGCCTGCCGGGCCCCAGCAAAGCTCTTAGACCCCTCTCACAGCCCGAGGGAAACTCTCACGCACGGCCCCTGATTTCCAACTTGTAATGGAAACCAGCTCCACCGCAGGACGCGAATGCCAGGCACCTTCTCCCACTTTGGGATGAACCAGGGGGCAGCGGGGCCCACCACCCAAGCTCCTTTCCCCGGGCCCACCTCTCCAGGTCGGCTTTCCTTCTTAAGAGGTCATAGCTGGCTGTGTCTGAGAACTTTAGGAAAACGACCACATCTCTGCTTTTTCTGGGCCTTCCACCCACAGATCTCATCCCCCGGCTCCCCACTTCCTCACACAAAACACCAATTAAAATCCAGACACGGATCCACCACCTCCTGCCCAAACCATAAGATTGTGTCTTTTTCAAGATATCTTCTCACCTTAATTGCGGTGAATTAAGACAGTAGATGCTTTATAGGATCTTTAGGGTGATGACAGAGAAAATACCAAAAAATCAACTTGTGCCTGGTCACTTTAAAGATTTAATCAAGGAATTGCCGGTGTGCGTGTGTGTGTGTGTGTGTGTGTGTGTGTGTATGTATACAGACATACCCATTGCACACCCACACACAACACACACATTTAAGGGGGCGTGGGGGGAATGAGATAGAGTAACATGGATTTGTGGAAAGTGTTTTGTCAGTTGATAATCTTTTCTTAAGAGACGCCGCCACCACGCCCGAAGACTTACCAGGTTGACCGGGTGAATATAACCGTTCTCATACTTGTCGTTGGCCAGGATCTGCCTCAAGTGGGCGATGTAGCTGGACGCCAGCCTGAGCGTGTCCAGCTTGGAGAGTTTGGTGTCCGGGGGCACCCAGGGCAGGGTGGTCTTGAGCCTGGAGAAGGCCTTGCTTAGCACCCGCATCCGGGCTCGCTCGCGCGCGTTGGCCGCGTTGCGTTGAACCTGTTTCCCTTCCTGGCTGACCCCGCTCAAGGGGCTCTTCTTGGTGGGCGCCTTCCTCCTCTTGCCCAGGCCGCCGCGGCCCTTCTGGGGAGACCCGGCCTCGCAGTTGGAGCTCTCCTCGGTGCTCTCGTTGGAGGTCACAAACTCCTTGTTCGAGTCCATTTTCAGCCCGTCGCAGTCCAGCATCTCCACCTCTTGAAGATCCTCCACATCGCTCAGGGAGCCGGTGGACATGTTTGGCGGAGAGGATGAAAGAGAGAGGGGAGGGAGAGAGGAGAGAGGGAAGAGAAGAGAGAGACCTCGAAACCAATGAGCCCCCGAGTGTGGAGTTCGAGGCGGCCACCTCGGGGTGGGGAGCCGGGAGGTGGGGGTCTGGCTGGGCCTCACACCCCTTTCCCCTTCGCAGAGTCGGGAGAAGAAGCCGCGAGGGCTTCTGCGGGCAGGAAACCGACGCGCTGTTTCCCCACCCCCGGAGTCGTGGCCGGAGAGGATTGTGAGAGAGCGCGGAGGAATTCGGTGGACACGAGGAATTTATCTGGGGAATAGAGAGGCGGATCCTTGCCGCCCAGGGGAGGGGCCTGCCGGGCCCCAGCAAAGCTCTTAGACCCCTCTCACAGCCCGAGGGAAACTCTCACGCACGGCCCCTGATTTCCAACTTGTAATGGAAACCAGCTCCACCGCAGGACGCGAATGCCAGGCACCTTCTCCCACTTTGGGATGAACCAGGGGGCAGCGGGGCCCACCACCCAAGCTCCTTTCCCCGGGCCCACCTCTCCAGGTCGGCTTTCCTTCTTAAGAGGTCAGAGCTGGCTGTGTCTGAGAACTTTAGGAAAACGACCACATCTCTGCTTTTTCTGGGCCTTCCACCCACAGATCTCATCCCCCGGCTCCCCACTTCCTCACACAAAACACCAATTAAAATCCAGACACGGATCCACCACCTCCTGCCCAAACCATAAGATTGTGTCTTTTTCAAGATATCTTCTCACCTTAATTGCGGTGAATTAAGACAGTAGATGCTTTATAGGATCTTTAGGGTGATGACAGAGAAAATACCAAAAAATCAACTTGTGCCTGGTCACTTTAAAGATTTAATCAAGGAATTGCCGGTGTGCGTGTGTGTGTGTGTGTGTGTGTGTGTGTGTATGTATACAGACATACCCATTGCACACCCACACACAACACACACATTTAAGGGGGCGTGGGGGGAATGAGATAGAGTAACATGGATTTGTGGAAAGTGTTTTGTCAGTTGATAATCTTTTCTTAATGAAATTAAAACTTTCCCCTAAATTTCTTTCTAGAGATCCATTTAATATTGTCTTAAAATGTTAGTTGCCTCAGACATCACCTGATCCCGGATTTCTGGTTTCTTCTCTCCCAGTGCTCCCTTCTTTTGGCTCCCGGGGTTCTGCTTGTAAGGCTGACATTACAAAACGTTGAGCAATATTATCCAGTTCAGAAAGGTTCTTTTTTCCACCACTAACTCCAGTCCCGACCATCTTTCCCGGAGAAGAAGAAAATTCAAGGAGTAGGTAGAAAAGCAAGGGGACCAGAAATCGAGGGATTGAACGACATCGATGAAATGAAACCAGAGACACAGAAGGCATGGATCTCTCTTACTAGTTCTTCTCCAGGTTTTCTTTCCTTGGAATTAGGTACTGAAGTTGAGGGGGCTGGAGCAGAATGTGAGAGGATTGTGAGCTTTTGACTGGGAATCTGTACCCCTCTCCTAAACTGAGATACCGTATCTCTAATCCTGGGCTCAGCTGGGAATTCACTAACCTCTAACGTTTTGTTTTGTTAGCAAGGTCTTGTTTGCTTTCCCCCTATGCTGTAAACTAAACAGATTGTCAGCAAATCAGTCTTTATTAATGAATTAGGGAGACCCCCCCCCATAATATCTTTGCCCAGGATCCAAAATTTGTTAATCACCAGTGTAGAGATTTATGAGCTCTCTTATTTTCTGTTGTTTGTGCAGGTGGAGATTTAAATGACCATATCCACTACCAAGATTTATTACGAGAGTGATTGATGCTATAAACCAGGAAAAGGACTCTTCTTCCCACAGCAGGGATGATAGAAATATCAAGTTGAAGTTGCCTTTGTCTTCATGCACAAATGACCCAGCCCTACAACACAGAGAGTATAATAATTTAATCTGAGATCCAAGACAGCATTAAAAGAACACCCAACAGGCCTGTTAAATGTTTCCCCTCTGATTCCCAAACTAGATTTCTTTGATTTACCCTCCCTTTTCTCAGTCTTGGTAAGACATGAAAGTTAAAGTTATTTTTAGACTAAAAGAGTTATGTGAAAATGGGCATTGACCAATACTTTGTGAGGCATGTGTATATGTGTGTGTGTGTGTGTGTGTAGATACTGAGATATATGTAAAATAACCACAGATTATTTATCTGGGCTCTGGAATGGGATGATAATTAAGAATCAGAACTATGCACTTACCACATACAAGGCTAGTAAGCTCAGAAGATTTTACCTGGAGTACTTTTGTTACTGAGGGAGAGGGTCTGGTTTCCTGCTTCACTTCAGTTGGTAAGCTACTGAGGCTGTTTGTGGGATAATAACAAACATAGTAATATATACAACTGAATAGATTTCTGCTGTTTGATTTTCTAAGTCTGAAAGTGTGCAATAAATAGAAATTTCTTACAAATAGCAATTTCTAGAAAGGATCAAAATAGCTTCATGCCACAAGCTGAGTTTGTGTGTGTGTGTGTGTGTGTGTGTGTGTGTGCACGCGCCTAGTAATTGGTTTTGTTTTGTTTTGTTTTTTTTTTAGATAAGTAAGAATTAAGTCCAGTTATCCCGCAGTGACACATTTAGACTGGGAAGGATGAGTGGATTAATAATGAACTTGGGATATTTGTAAAAACTTGCTAAGTGATAGCTACCAGTTTGGGAGCAAGCTATGAAGAAGGCTGTTATTTAGGTACCTTGATGTGCAGTCTTGAAGACAATAGATTAATATGGATAATACCTTTTCCTCTTGACATTTTGTATCTACCCTGCTAATAAACACTTAGGGACAGGTGGGTGGGGGGAATGACTTATTGTTGGATTCTACCAAGAAAATCAGTTAAGCTGTAACTTAAACTGTGCCAGATTCTCCCAAAATATAAACTATAATTCTGTGAGAAGAGAAGCATTTTTGAGAAACTGTATTAACTCTTCAATAACAAGAGAAATCCTTTCAACATTAAAGTTTCGAAGAGCTAAATAGAAAACCAGTGGTTTGAGAGCATGAGGTAGTTAACTAAAAGTTCTTACCTTACATTTAAGAGAGAATTTATGCCCCCAGAGACATCTGGCCAATTTGTTGCACACTTCTAACAATTTGTTCTGCAAGAAAGGCTATCTTTGAAAGATTTCAATGCTAAGGAAAATTTATCTCTAAAAGTAGTAAAATGAAGATTAGACGTGGAATGTATCCTTGAACGTAAATCCTGGTTTATCAACTGATAAGTTTTCAGGAAGTTCAAATTTGATTCAGTTGCACTTGGATGGGATAATTTGCTTCCCTTTTTATGAGAGGGAAAAACATCAAGGCTTCTTTTGAACTGACTTCATCTACCATCACATTCTCTTTCCCAGGGCAGTAGAAAAATATGTCTTTAAATTCGAATTTTAATCCTTTCCTCATACTCCCTACTATTTGTCCAAGAGGTAGACAAGCTGGCAAATTGGCAAAAGTGCCAATTCTCTCTTTGTTTCTTCACTGTAATTAACACCTCTAGATGTGTCATTTTCTTTGTGTGATGGTAACTACCACCAGTTCAAATGCAAAGAAATAGAGGAAAACAACAGAATGGGAAAGACTAGAGATCCCTTCAAGAAAATTAGAGATACCAAGGGAACATTTCATGCAAAGATGGGCTCAATAAAGAACAGAAATGGTATGGACCTAACAGACACAGAAGATATTAAGAAGAGGTGGCAAGAATACACAGAAGAACTGGACAAAAAAGATCTTCATGAGCCAGATAATCACAATGGTGTGATCACTCACCTAGAGCCAGACATCCTGGAATGTGAAGTCAAGTGGGCCTTAGGAAGCATCA